GATGATGATGATGATAATGATAATGATAATAATAATAACAATAACAATAATAATAATAATAATAAATAACAATAACAATAATAATAATAATAATAATAATAATAATAATAATAATAATAATAATATTAATAATATTAATAATAATAACAATAATAATAAACATCATATAAATAATTACTGTGATAATAACAAAAGTAATGATAATAAATATAATCATAACAATAATATCAATAATAATAACTAACTCTAACAACAATAGGAGCAGTAGTAGTAATAGTAGTAATGAAAATAGATAAACAAATAAATTGACACAGAGAGATATCTAAATGTCTTGGCCAATTGCGGATAAAATTCTCCCGCCGACACAATCAACAATAACAAACAAACAAACAAACAAAATCCCCCCCACCACCCACCCAAAACCATCAAAACACACATTTAAACAAACAAACAAACAAATCCCCCCCCCCCACCAAAACCATCAAATCACACATCATCTAAACAAAACAAACAAGCAAAGACAAACAGACATGAACGCAACAGGAGAACCAGCTGTTAACCTCACCCGGGAACGCCCACTTTGACGTGTCGTTGGAGTCCGTCCCGAAATACGCCGTTTTGTTGCCGTACCTGTAGGCGGAATTGGCATGAGATTAAAAGTACGTCAGTTGAAAAAAAAAATTAAAAATAAATAAATAAATAAATAAATAATAAAATAAATAAATAAATAAATAAATAAATAAATAAATAAATAAATAAATAAATAAATAATAAATAAATAAAAATAAACGTATGTATGTGTATGTGTGTGTGTGTGTGTGTGTGTGTGTGTGTGTGTGTGTGTGTGTGTGCTGTGTGTGTGTGTGTGTGTGTGTGTGTGTGTATGTGTGTGTGTGTGTCATATATATATATATATATATATATATATATATATATATATATATATATATATATATATATATATATATATAGTTATAGATAGGTCGATAGATAGACAGGTGGATAAACAGAAATATACATACATAAATACATACATATACAAACATATAGATAGATAGATGGATAGATAGG